TGAATTTTTAAAATTTTCAATTGGCAATAAAAATTTAGAGAATACCTTAGGACCATAAGCAATTAATATTTTTCCAGTATTTCTGAATTATTTTGTTTAGATTAGCCATCTAAATTAAATTTATTGTGAGTCATCAATATGAACAACATGTCTAATTTTAAATTTTCAAATAAGTTCTTTAGTAAAAGTAAAAGGAAACAGTTGAAATAAATGCTGTCAATATATATTTTTAAAATTTTATTTATTTACTTTAATTAGGTATATGTGACAGCAGAATGCATTTTGATTCATTGTACACAATTGCAGCACAACTTTACATTTCTATTAGCATCACACCATATGGGCAGTCATACATGTACCTAGGGTAATGATGTCCATCTCATTCCACCATCATTCCCCACCCCATGCACTCTCCCTACCTTCCCTCCCTTTTGCCTAATCAAAATTCCTCCATTTGTCCCATGCTTCCCTGCTCCCTATTATGAGTCAACATCCACTTATCAGAGAGAACATTCAGCATTTGGTGTTTTTTTAAATATAGTATCTCCCAACTACTGTCACTTAACATAAATCCATGAAAATTATCAATATTTTACTTTGTAAAAAACTCAAGTCTTCAACCTGCATGTATATTTTATACCTAGTAAACATCTCACATCAGAACAGTCACACCTCAAGTGCTGACTAGCCACATGTTATTGGTGACTACCATGTCCACCAGTGATCATTTAGACAACTCTTTTATGGCTAATAAGAAGTATGATTGTTACTGAGACCAAAGGGAAAAAAGTACATATAGTTCCAGTGCCATTCCTTCCATGACACTTTTTCTGAGCATCCTGGACAGAAATAAACACTTTCTTATACATATCATCCTAGTGTATTTTAAATTGCCATATCAATTAAAGGATTATTTTTTTAAGATTACTATTTATTTGTTTATTTATACCAGGGATTGAACTCAGGGGTACTTAACCTCAGAACATTTTTTTAATTTTATATTTTGAGTCAGGGTTATTTAAGGTCTTGCTATGCTGCTAAGGCTGTCTTTGAACTTGGGATCCTCCTTCCTCAGCCTCCTGAGATGCTGTTATTATAGGCATGCATTACCACACCTGGGTTAAAATATATTTTTTAGCACATAAAATATTCAACTTAATGTCAGGAGCCTTCTGTATATCTGTAAAAACAGTGCCTTGTTTGTATTTTATTTATTTATTTATTTATTCATTTACTATTAGGTCATATTTTCTTGTTTTCAAATAATTATCACAGTTCTAAAGTTTATTCTTATTATTTGATTACTGTTTAACCAATTGAACTATAAAGGTCATTAGGAGATGTATTACATCTGATTTTGCATGCAACATTATGTCATTAATTTTAGTGATTCTTATAAATGGTTTAATACAGTTCATTTAAATGGAAGTATCAATTCATGAACATCCAACACAATATGTTTCACATGGCTAGATTTATTTAAGCTAGACTTAAATCTTTTCTTCTGTCTCCACTCAGAAATGTGGTCCATAACATAAAAAAAAAAAAGATTACTGATAAAACTCTTAACATGTATAATCTTGTGCTTACATAGGCAGAAAATATTCTTCTTAATACAGGGATTATCTCCATAGTCCCTGAAAAGCAGTTAATACTTGTTCTTTATAAAAGTTAAATTTTATTTTTATATGTGCTCAAGTAGTTAGAAATTAATATTCTCCAAAGTCATTGACATGTTTAGTTATCTAACCTTCCCAAACAGTTCACATTTGTTCTTAGCTTCCAGTCAGATGGGGAATAAGGAAAATGTTGAAAAGTATTAACATCTTGGGGCATCCTGCACAATGGCTGATGCCCCATGGCTTCTCTCCAGCTGCAGTCTTGAGTGGCAGTGGGCAAGTTTATTAGTATAGACAAGACGTGAATAATTGATGAATACATATGATGACAAGAGTAACTGTAACAATATTAAAGGACAGAGAATTTTGGAATTTCTGCCTGTTTGGATGTGGATCTACATTTAAAGAGCGTCCCTTGTCCCTGAACTCTTATCCTCTCTGTGCACTGCCTCGGGCTTAGGCTCAGCCACTCTTTCACCCTTTAGCTACCACATTCACCCACAGTTTTGCTGTCTGGTTGTGCAGCAGGGTTCTCATTCTCACCTGCCTCCCCTCTCCACTCAGCTCTGCCTCTGCTGACACTCCCCTCTCGCTCCCCTGCTTCACTCTGGTTTCTCACCAGAAATTCTCACGGAGTCTTACTTTCTTTTGATTGTAATTACATTTATTCTGAGGGGACCATGTGAAAAGTTTCAGAAACTAAAGTGGCATATACATCTCAAACAATAATTTTGCTCATGCATCCGTATTAACACTTACTGACCTGTTTTTCTTTGAGTGACAATTTCCATTTGTGCTCTGGTTGTGGTCATTGGGGGCTTTGTCTGTCAATTATCATCTATGAGATTACTAACACTTTCTATAGTGTTATAGGAATTACAGACCAACATTGACTACCGACAGGTTGTTTCCTGTGTCTAAGAAAACAAGCAAGTGGGAAAATACCCCAGGGAATTGTAGCAAGGACGAAGGGCATGTCCTGCATGCCCACCTTCCTTTCCCACCTCACCAGCTCTTCCGTCTCCCACTGGCCTTTAGTACACATGCCTACCCACAGGATTGTTACACCTCCTACTTTGCCTATTATCTAAGCTTGTTCTGTGTTTTTCCTTCCATGAAAACACAGTATTTCCACCTGCCATTTTCCTGGAAGTTTAAATTAATGCTCCTGACAGGCCAGATGATGAGAATGAGAACTGTCGTGTTGCACACTTGGAAAAGTACTTGGAACTCTGCTTCTTCTGCTAATATTCTTTCAAAGTCTTCTTCTCTCCCTCATCCACCCCATAAAAATTGAAGTTAGCCATGACAGATTGCTAAGATCAGTTAGTCTTAGTTACTTGCCCCAGCTGACATGTGCAAAGCTCAGCTTTTACCCGAGGCCTGCATGACACCAAGGCCAAAGCTCCTTGTGCTCCAGGATTCTGGTACAGACCTGGAGAACCACAGGGCCCTGGAGTGGTAGACATGCTAATTCTCAGTAGACAAAAAGGGCCAATGCACACAGTAGGAATGTAGGTGAGAGCCAGGCATCTTTTGGGAACAGTAAGATAATCAAGCAGTAGCTTTTGAACTGTATATCTTCCCTTTTGTGAAGCCCGCTGAGAGGCTTCAAATGTGGTAAAGAGAGCCCAGAAGAGAACAGACACACATGTGTCCTAAGAGGCGGGCCCTGAAAGCTCAAGCTCGGAAATGCTTTTCAATTGCTGAATTGTGTGCTGCTGTCTACAAAGTGCAGAATTTATGAACAGTAGTCCAAGGTCAAATGGGAAAGGAAAGGAAAGTGGTACCTGAAAAAATGATAGTTGTTTACAAGTATTTCCAAAGAATTCCAATAAAAACTTCATCGGTCACATTGCTGTTGCTGGAAAAGCAAGTAGCAAATAAACACTTAGGAAAATACGTGATTTTAGTTGATGTGAATGATTTTACTGAAAATTTAGAAAGTACTTAGCTTTTTCACTTGTGCATGTAGACTGTACTAGAGGATGAGGTGGGGGCTAAAGTGTGCTTCCTACCTGGTTACGGTATGTAGCTTTATTGGATTGCATGCATGTCTTTCTTGGTTTTATATTTTTATTTTCAAATGCATTTTTAATGCTAAAGTGTAAATTTTATAAACTACTTTAAGCACAAATGTTCCAAGCACCCTTTTTATTAGTTTTTATATTTAGTACACTTGGGATTTGAACCCAGAGCCTTGCACATGCGAGAGGCAAGTTCTATGCCATTGAGCCACACCCCTAGATCTTCAAGCCCCCCTTTAAAAATGTACTCCAAATAATAATCTACTTAGTGTAGATTTTGGGCTTTCTAGACCTTGCAAATAATACTTAGACTAATGCAACAAAAATTGTTATAAAATACTTTATTTTTAGATAATTAAATATAATTAAATACTTTTTTAAAGTAATTTTTGAATTCAAAAGTTCAAGAACATGTTTTTACACCTAATTCTAAATTAATTCAAAGAGGCATAAAACCTAACATATTCTTAGTTCAGGAAGCATTTAATCAATTGTAGCCAGAGAATGCTTCCATGATTATTTTATGCCCATGAAAAATATGGTCCATATTCAGTTTGTTTAAGGTAAAAGAACATCCAGTGGAGTTATTTTCTTTGCTTTCTAGCACAACCACATGCTTCATGATTTAATATAATATGAATTTTTACACAAGAACAAAACTGTTCAACATCGAAGGGAGAAGGGACAATTTATTTCCTAAACCCATGTTTGGCTGATGCTGAAAATCTACAACCTCTATTCTGTCTCTAGGTATAATGCACAAAGTAAGTCCAACTTTAGAATTTCATACATGAAAGTGGAATTCAATTTATTATAGGGAAGCTTTTAATCTTTGTATATGGCCTGACATGCTGGATTTTATTTAATAGCTGAATTTCATAGACAAGGACTAGGCATGTCTTCAAAGAACCTGACCAAATACTATAATCCATTTCCTCCTGAAATTACAGTTGTTAAATTAGACACAAAACATTTATGAATGTCACTGTGCCTTTCCAGCAATTAACAAGTTCAGAAAAAAAAAATCCCTTCATGTTGCATGGCTTTGAAATTATTGTATTTATCCTGAGCTGGCCCTTCAATTTGTTCTATCAAACACTTTAGAGGCTGGAGCAAGACATCAATCCTGAACAGGTGTGCAAAAGGGCTTCTTGATGTCTGAAAGTGTTCTATTTTAAAGCCATTTTAGCAATTTTAGCACATCAGCCACTGTGAATTCCCAGGTAAGTAAGAGGCCAATTCATTTCCCCGTGAAGGCAAGCAATGTGTGTCACCATCACGGCCCGATGTCACCCTGATGAGGGACAGTCGTGCAGTTGGCTGAAATTCTCACTTTGCTGTCTCCTCCTTGCAGTGCTGATCCTTCTTATCGTAACCATGAGAAGGCGGAAAAAAGAGCCCCTGATTTTTGACGAAGAGAGAGATATTAGAGAAAACATCGTCAGGTACGATGACGAGGGCGGGGGAGAGGAAGACACAGAGGCTTTTGACATGGCTGCACTGAGGAACCTCAACGTCATCCGTGACACCAAGACCCGTAGGGATGTGACTCCAGAAATCCAGTTCTTGAGTCGACCGACTTTTAAGAGCATCCCAGATAATGTGATTTTTCGGGAATTTATTTGGGAGAGACTGAAAGAAGCTGATGTTGACCCAGGGGCTCCCCCCTATGATTCTCTGCAGACCTATGCCTTCGAAGGGAATGGCTCAGTCGCTGAGTCACTCAGCTCTTTGGATTCCATCAGCTCAAACTCTGATCAGAATTATGACTACCTAAGTGACTGGGGACCTCGCTTTAAACGCCT